CGCTCTCGGCGCGTGCGCATGACGCTCGACGCATTGAGCGTCGAGCTCGATGCTGGCCGCGTCGGGCACGTCGTCCGGCGCGATAATTGTATGTTTTGAGTCGCGGCTCATTTCTGAGCACGCGACATGTGGATCTACGAGCAGAAGCTCGTCTACATCCGGGGATGCGACGTGGGGTCGCGTCCCTATGCCTTCCCGGGCGCAGGACCGAGTCATCTTGTCGGACAACTGGGACTCGGGCTCGGCGACGGCGGCGTCGACGAACCTGGCGCGTGCACCACTCTTGAGTGTGGTGCCGAGCTTCGTCGGCTCACTGGGAGCAGGCGGAGACGGGGTCTCCGGGCAGCTCTGAGCAGGCTCGACGTCGGGCTCGATCTGCTCAATTGGTGGTCCCTTGGACTCAGACACGGGCTCGGCAGCGGCAGCGCTGTCGATCTCGGTGCGTGCACCACTCGTCGGGGAGCTTTCCAGCTCCTGCGGCTCGGCTGGAGCAGGCGGAGTCGTGTTCTCCTGGCAGCTCTGAATGAGCTCGACCTTGGCCCGCAGCGGTTCTGCGCGTGCTGTGTGTTCGACCTCGCGGTCGGACGACGCCTGCTCCGCGAGTGCTCCGGACGAGTTCTCGGGGTCAGAGAGCTCAGTCCGGCAGGTCGTGCGACGGTGGCGTCTGGATTCGTTGTCCTGCTCCACGGAGTGTCTGAGCGATGTGATAGCATCATCTAGATGCTTCATCGAGTCATCAAGTGTCCGGAACCGCCTAGTATCGGGGGTGGCTCGTGTCTCAGCCAGGTTACTCTTCAAGAACTTCGCAAAACTGCCAAGAAGTTCATCGACCTTCGCATCGACCTTCGCGCGGCGGGCCTCCCGAGTACTACGCGAGTGCTTGGGAGAGTGGGTTGTCGATCCAGCCATCTTCTTGAGTGGTTGTGAAGTCGACTAGATTTTTGATGTAAAGCATAGAAATTCAATGTTTCCAGGTTGTTGCCTAGAGTAGATAGTCCCCAGAACAGAAGCTGTTCTGGAGCGCAAAAAAGTGTGGCGTCCCTTAATCCTCGGGCCCGGTATGCGCTGTACCCAGTCTCTATTCAGAGGGACTGTCTACACGTAGCATACATGGGGCGATGAGGATGGTAAAGGACTGAGGTCTCGTAGGTGCGCTGGCGCGCCATACGAGCCCTCGAACAAACAAGAACAATCATACGAGATAAGATATACCGTAACGGGAATATCCGTTACATTGCGGCTGGTGAGCGAACGAGAAGGTCACCGCATTTGCTCACATGCCCGCCTCCCGTTCGTCGGCTGTGCTTGCGCCCCGGACGGCGAGCACGACGTCTTCCCGAGGTGAGCAGACCGACCGGAGGTGAGCAAATAGCGACCGTCTGAGGCGCATACCAGTTGATAACGCGGCAGACGAGTGCTCATCAGTATCATCCTGTGCACAATAGCACATCGACTCACCTTCCACGACGTCCCCGAGCTGTCTCCGTATGTGCTGGCACTCAAGTCTCAAACGCGGAACCTGCGTAGCAACGCGGCAGACGAGTAGGGTCGCACGGTTAGCAGCCATCTCGATTTTGGATGGGTAACAATGCTTACCTGACGCTAGCACTCGGCCGAACACTCTCCCCGCCGAGGCACCCACCGTCCCGTCCACCCTGTTTGCTGGACGGCGATACGTCGTGTCTTTGTCGGTCGGGGACGCGAGCCGGGTCGACCGGCAGACCGCGGGAGGTGGCGAGTCCGGGACGACGAGAGAACCATACCGGACGGCGGCGAGGATCGAGGGCGGCGGCCGTCTAGTCTGTAGCAGACCGGACGGGATGTTTCGGACGGCGGTCTCGTACCATCGTTCTTGTCGGACGGCTCTGCACGCACGGCTGCTTGGCCAGCGCGGAGCGACCGCTCGACCGCTCAACCGCCGGACGGCGACCAGTCCCGACGTCGTTCGTCCGGTCGGGCATGTCCGAGCCCGCATGATCGTCCTGCGGCTTACCAGGGCCATGCGAGCGGTGCGTTCGAGTCGAAAGACACGGGAGAGACGAGGAATGGGGAGGGACGGGGAATGGCTTGTCGTCACTGCAACTTGAGTCGGAGTCCTTGACTGCAACTCGTGAGAAGTGCTAAGCGCCTCATCAGCCACGACACGTCACGCGCGCTCGCTGGACTTCGACTCTCCAGTCTCACACTCCGCCTTCACTGTCAGCCCGCTCCTCCCTGCCTGCTTTGCCCTCGCTTACCCGCCGCTGACCTTCAGTACACACAGGTGGACCCGTTCGCGGGAGACGGCGTGTACAACGGACCACTGATCAGGCCAAGATCGCGCTGTGCAACGACCCCCAGCGACGCGCTAAGAGCGTCGCTGGAGGCCTCGCGAAGGGTTAAGATGCAGGGAGGAACGCGGGTCGCGGCCAGCAGGGCCAGTGAGTCGGGTGAGCACCCCGCTTTTCACCTCGACTCCAGGAATGCCCACCAAGGATGAGTTGACGGAGCCTAACACCGTGACATGACGGAGACAGCCCCGGCGCATGTTTGCCCAACAAGTGCAAGTACCTACGGATACGGCGCGCGCTGGTACGACATCGGCCAGCTCGCCGCACACCAGTATGATGTGCCCAAGCCCGGTACAACACAGCCCATCGAGCAGGACCGCGATGAGCAACAGCCTGCCAGGCACTCAGCGCGGCGTGCAAAAGCCCACCGAGCATCAGCGCGCGTAGGCTTGCTGAGGAAGGGCACGCCACGACGTCATCTTACTGGTTTGTCTGCTAATTCGCTGGCTCGCGTGCTGACTCGGTCACCCGTTCTCGCCCTCGCCCTCTCTCCAGCTCGTCCACCCGCTATTCCACTCGCCCACCGCCCCCCTCGTCTGTTGTCGAACTCCCTGTCGCTCCCCTTCGCCGCTGTCCTGCTCGCCCACCATCTCGCTATATCCGTCGTCCCTCACACTTGTCTTCCTCTCACCTGTTATCCCCCTCGCCGTCCTGCTTACCCACCATTCCGCTTACCTGCCATTCCGCCTGCCTGCTGTCCCGCTCGCCCGCCGTCTCGCTTGCCTATGCGGATCTTGTATCTGCTGTGGCGGATTTGTACCCGGGTGGGTACGTGCATGGGTCGAGCCTGGGATATGCATAGGTATACCTGTGCTCGGCCACAGGTGAATGACTCCTGTAGTACCAACTTGTAATGATGTAGTCTAGACCCTTGAGCTCAATACTATGCAGTCCACGATGTTATAGACAATATGTACCCAGTGATACGAATATATGCAAATTATTGCACATGCAAGAAACAAGTACTGACTTCGGAATAATACTCGCGAATACGAGAGGTGTGATGCATTGGATTCATAATGGCAAAGTATTATTGAGTGTTCTGCCGTGTTCCGTGTATTATCGACAATTTTAGAACATTACCACGAATTACGGAAAGAGGGTTTTCCTGATGGCCAAAGGCACTGATACGCCACTCGCTGATAGCACGTCTTGTCCACTGTGTCATGTGAGTACTAGAGTCCTCGGTTGGGACGTCGCGGCGACTCACAGTACTGGCCGCTTGTGTCGGCTAGGGTTCTCGAGGGCTTTACCACATGGTCCGAGTTGAACAAGTGGAAGCCAGAACTTGACGATATCCAGCGGGTCGCTCGAGAGATTGTCAGACAGTTCACATACATCAGCAAAACAGCGACTTCGTCTGAACATGCCTGAGACGTCTGACATCAGTCGAATCAGGCACCTCAGACAGTTCAGACCCCAGGTCTGAAAAGGGTAGATTCAATTCTGACTTCAGACGCAGTGTCTGATGTCAGCTCACCTTTCAGACACTTTCAGACACGATTCAGACCACCCATCAGACTCATCGGACCTCACGAACCCAATATATTTGTAGGTCCCTACACGTACTCTTACATACATGTACATGCTGCATTTGCACGCAGATCATTCGTCCTGTGTGTTCGCAGTCGGCGTATGTCCGCGCCCCGGCCGCAGACTTGTCCCCGTCGACTCGCCCGCCATCGTGCACTTGTCTCGCCCGTCCTATCACCATGTGTACCGTCGGTTCGTCGGTCGCGTTTGCGTGCTCGGCATTTGCCCTGCACGCTCGTGGTCGTCGTGCGTCGTCGCCTGCTTGTGTGCCCGCCAGCCAGTCAGGCCGCTCAACCGCTGGTCTGCTCACCCACTCACCTGCCCACTCGCCCGCTCGTTTTCTCGTCAGTTCACCCGCTCGGTGGTTCCTCACGCACTCACCCGCTCGCACTTCCGCCCGCCCGTCCGTTCATCCGCCGCTCGCTCGCCCTCACGCCCGCCCGCTCGCACATCCTCCTCGTCCCTACGTCTGTGATAGCGTTCGTCGGCCGCGTCCACGCGCAGGGCATTGGCCCCTAAGTCCTCCCTTCGCGCACGCGCCCGCCGCCCATTTCTCTGCCACGTCCCGAGTTGGTGTGCCTGGTTGTATGACCGCCGTCGTGAAGGAGACTAGGCGCATAGGGGAGGGAGATGCGGGCATGCGCTCCTCGTTGGTGCGGCTTGTCCTCGCCCATCGGTCCCGACAGTGAATCTGACCCGCTCGGGCTCGCATGGCTGTGGTTGATACTCGTTCCTGTGTGCCCTGCGCTAATCAGTCGCGGATGCAGCGGAGCATCGTCGGGAGCGCGGGTGCGTCTGACGGCGGGTAGCTCTGCACCTCAGTCTGATGTGCCGCTGCCGCAGGCGAATGCGTCGGTAATCGCTGGCGGAAGGGGATCAACAAGTCGTGAGAGCACTGGTGGAGAGGGGCGTCCGCCAGAGCCGGACTGAGACAAGACACACCTGATATTTCCATTTCTAAGCGCGCTGCCGATGCTCTCGACACAGCTGCACTTCATGTCGATGCTGCGATCGTCGGGTTCGGTGCTGAGTGGACGTTTCGTGCCCGATATTGGAGGTGACGCGCGAGACGGCATTACGGCTGGCGATTGCGGCACATCATCATCGGCGAATGACCTGGCCCAGGACGTGAACCGCCTAGACCGATCCGCCCACCAGGAAGAGGACCGAAGCTGCGCGGGTCAGCTGGTCAGCGATACAGCGCGGCTCGAATCCAACGGTAGACTCATGGGAGCCTCCCCAACACCGTCGTCGTCGTCCATGTCGAGAGCCTTGCGGGCGGTTGCGGCGCGCTGCCCGTCGACGATGGCGGCACCGAACGACTCGCGCTCCCCGAGCCTGTCGAGCTGGGGTACGGGCTGCCCTTCAGCTGCCCGTTGTAGTCAGCGCCATGCCCCGATTCTCCTACTTACTTGGTTCCTCCTTCACGCGCTTCGCAGGTGCGTATCGCTTATGCTCTTTCTCCAGTGTCTCGCCCGCCGCGGTTCCCGTTCGAGCTCTGAGAGTCCTTGTCCTTCGTGCCATTCCGGCGACGGCGGTCCTTCGGCTCGGGCTTCCTGGCAGGCGTTGGCTGCTGCAGTATACGCAGGCTCTCCGACGTATGTCTATAGCCAATTCAAGTTGACAGAGAGGATGGGTGGCTGCACCGAACAACGGGGTTGGCAGGAAAGTCGCGAGTCGCAACCGTTGACATGGACGAGTGGGTGACGTGGCGCGCCTGTTTAGGGCAGGCGCCCGCGGTACTTGTTCCTCACCGAGCCTCCTTCCCTCCCGTCTGAGCGCTAAGTTAGCGCTCACCCGTACACACAGTATCCTGAGTCGATACCACAACCACAGTGCTCGTGTTACTATGCAGTATTCGTGTAGTATGTACTTAGGTTTATTAGGATATAATGTAGACTACTTACTTACTAGTAGTCAAAACTTCGGTCAGTCTATTTCGTCAGAGCCTGTGACAGTAGTATACAGTGATACTAGCTTGTATGTAGTACTAGTAGCTTCAAACCTACGGTCTGTCGCGACTGACACGACTGACGCGACTGAGGAGACTGACGGGCTCTGAGCGAGTGAGCCAAGAACGACCCGAGGTCGCGCGGAGCATAAGCGCTTAATCACGTCAGCCATGACAGCGATCTCAGACTCCGGATCAGGCCCTTCATTAACCTCAGGCGCCGTCAGACAGTGCGCCGTTTTGCTGATGTACGTCGACGTGGCACAGAGGGCGCAAGCAGCTGGCGATGATTGGTTCGCCCACGAAGTGTACTTTATGCGCGACGCGCTGATGTTCTGTCGGTTCGAGCATGCTGTGAGCGGCGCGGATGCTGGGGCGGCCCGGGTTCTGCGAGTCCTGAAGTATTGGACATTTGCGTTTCGAGGTGCAGGCCAGCACAACTATGCACGGGAATGTGTGGAGATCCTTGTTCGATGGAAATACGAGGTGACGGATACAATGCGCACCGCTTTGGAGAAGGCATGGTTCGTGAACCGATGGGGCAAACCTGGGCGCTGGATCGCTGCGGATCTCTACTTAGAGCAATGCAATTTCTGGGTCAAAGTGAGCACATAATGTTTATTGTTTCTTCGAGATGATTGGTAAACTTACCTCGGAATGCTCTGGACAGCGTGTCTTCATAGCCAGCGGGAATGGCAAGACGGTGGGCTACATCATGAAGAAAGGCTCTGCCTGTGTCGAGTCATTTCGGCACATTTCTCACCTGTTTGCAAACTCATTTGGAGACCCGGATCATCATCGACGATCCAAGGAAGCAGCTTTTCAGCAAGATATGCGCGTCTTGGTCGAAGCGATGATTGCAGACAGTGCACATGTCATTGCTGCTGACAAACACTTTGTACCTGCCACTGGATCTGGAGGTAAAGCGGCGAAGAAGACTCAGTCTGGATCTCCACGCTCTGCCATTGCGGACGTGATGAATCTCGGTGCGGAGGTCTGGCAGAATGGGAAGTTTGCCGAGTACCTTCAAAACACTGTGTACGATCCACAACTAGGCTATCCAATGGTCTCACGAGAATCGGAGACAACAGTGAATAATAGTACTTCTATTTTTCATACGGATACCGCATTCGACAGTCCCACGAACCCTTTAGAATACAATAGCTATGTTGATTTACTTGGAGCGGAGGATGATAGGAGCAGTGGTATGCAAGGAGGTCTAGGTGGTGGTGGTGAATTTGCGACGGGGATGGAAGATGACTGACTGCTACATAAATCGTACACTCTATCTATGCATCAGTATTGCGAGCAGGAGCATAATATTGATAACCTTGAGGTGTACTATACGTAGCCTGCCGGGTATATTGCTGAGTCCAAGGATAAGAGCCGCCGGCGCCTGTATATCCAAGAGACGTGTTGACTTGGAAGGGCGTATGCATCGGTGTGCTGGGACTCGGAGACAGCGAGGGATATGGTATTCTTGGTGAACTGGCAGGCGGATACCCGTATATGTAACCAGCAGGCGAAGATAGAACTGGCTGTTGAACAGGATGCCACTGATGTTGCGTGCGATGGTAGTTCGTGTATGCGAGATTGAGATGCTGCGGCGGTGCCAGTGTGGCCATGGAGTGTGATGCCACGGGCAGATGCTCCATTGACTGGAATGGTCGATGTGATGATGATGGCGTTGGTGGAATCGGGCGTGGTCGTGGCCGCGGGGAGACATCAATCGGGGTCAACGGCCTCGAGCGAACCTGAGTGTCATGACTGCGGGCGTTCTGAGTCAGCGCGGGGGGCATTGGGACTCCGTAACCAATGTTGGCTGGCAGTGCTCCAGGACGGGCGTAGTGTGTATGAGAGGCGTAGGACGGAGTTGAGTCGAGTTGGACCCGGCCTCGGACAGCACGAGGTGTGATAAAAGGATCGTCAAAACTGGGCGTGCCAACCCGTGTCGCTGACGCCAGTGGTGTTGTATCACCGAAGTCAGGTTGGGCGATGGGCGCGGGCGGTGAAGTACCCCGGGGAGATGTATGTCGTGCCTTCTTCCGGCTTCGACGCTGAGAGGTTGGTGTCATGCCTATGACCGCCTGGTGGCGCCACATCTCCACGGTCAACGCTAGACTACGTAGCTCAGAATCGGTCCCAGAATCCCACTGTATTGCCTTGCGGACCAATTCCGGTGTCACCTCATCAGCCCTCGCAAATTCGGCACACTTCTCCACAAGTCGGTCTATCAGCTTCGTTGGGAAGTCGACTTCACACGACACGAAGCGATAGTCACGCTCGGGGCGGACAGAGTGAGTACGCCATTCGGTGAGGCTTCTGCGCAACAGATCCTTCGCCTCTCGTGAGACAGCCAGTTGCTTGCGGCCATCCGAGTTTGAAGTGCTTGTCGATGTAGCGGATACCGAACCAGGCGCTGACGCCTCTGACGTTAAAGTCGCTGAACGTGCACGTGTGGTGACATCTGCCAGGAGTGGTCGCACAAAGTCCGCAGCATAAGCCGAGAGACGACGGTCATCCTGCGCAGCTGGCTTGAGTACGTCGGGATGCGATGGGCTGCAGTGGCTGCAACACCGGTCAGATGGGGGATGTCTACCAATGTCGAGAACGGTCCAGCGGAGAGACCACGGTGACTTCTCTGAACGTGAGCCCATGGTAGGCTTGTCAGAGTTGTTGAGTGTCTTGTGTGTCGTCAGGCGCGTGTTGGGCCGAAACGCATCACTGAGAAAGCGATGCATGCATTCTACCAGGCTGTCAGACCGCCTGATGCCGCTGTATGGAGAGTATTGGGACTCACTGTGTTCGCACTCATCGGCCACATTAATGAACTTCTCTAGTTCTGCGGGGAGTCGTGCACGCTGTGTGGCGCTCTTCTTGCTCTCCGGCTTGACCTTGCGACCTCGCAAACGCTGGATCGCCGGAACGATAACCTGACTGGCCATAGGCGGTGGTCGGAATGCCCAATGTGGGACTAACAGCAAGCAGACGGCTTGCGTTGTTCTGTCACGGCCAGCCCGGCCCCAGCGCTGCGCCACGACCGACAACGAGCGCGGGCAGTTTAAGATGACGATGTAGCGGATGTCGGCGACATTGCAACCCATACCCGCTGCATCAGTCGCGCAGAGAATACGGTAGCGGCCGCTCGCAAAGCGCTCCCAGGCCAGCTTCTTGGCTTCTTCTGATGCACCCGACGAGAACGCGTAGACTGTGTCTCGTAGATGCTCCGGGAGGCATCTTCGGAGCTGCGCCTTCACGTCGTGACATCCCAACTCGGAATCAATGTAGATGATTGTTTTGGGGATGTCGGCTGCCTTGGTATCGCCGTTGAGACGCTCGGGCAAGATGTTGAGAAAGTCAGGAAGTGGGTTCTTTGCGTTTCGAAGCGTGCGCGTCATGTACAACAAATTCGGTCGGTCCGCGCCAACGTCGATGCCCCAGAACGGGCGAAGCCCGAAAGCGAGAGTGTCCCATAGAACGTCGAACGTCGAAGTCGAACACGTCGCAGTGCAAGCCACGAAGGGTATTTCGTGACCTGTATAGTGACGAAGCACGCTCAGACGACGATAGTGCGCCCTGAAGTCGTCCGTGCCCCACTCGTCCACGCAGTGTGCTTCGTCGATTATAACGGCTTGCAGTCTGGCCCGGAAGCGTTCGTCCTTCCATAGTTTGGCGAACGACTCGGACTGTGCCATCTCAGGTGAGATGTATATCATCTGAGCGTCCATCCGCGCCATCGTCCATAGTGGATCCGTGCGTGAGTTGTCCTCGTTGATCATGACAGCCTTGATGTTCTTTGCCTCTGCCTCCTTCACCTGCTCGGCCCGATGATAATCAATATTAGCTCGTAACGAAATAGTAAGCTACCGCACCTGATCCGCCTCGAGAGCCTTCAATGGACTAATTACAATGACAGCCTTCCTCTTCCCTCCGAGTACCGCGAGCCCCTGGAAGATGAGGCTCTTGCCATAGCCGGTGCCTGCACAGAAGACACTGTCGTAGCCACGCAGAACCTTGGAGATTACCTGAACTTGCCAGGCATCCGGTTCAAAATTGAGTTTGAGCTGCTTCTTCAGGTTCTCCCTGAGCTTGTGGTCCTGAAATCGCGGTGCGTCAGGCTTTACGCCCTGGGTGCGTTTTGGAGGTGTCTTGCGTCGTCTGGGGGTTCCTGGGTTGCGTGTAGAGCTCCCGAGTGCAGGAGCAGGACGTCTAGGAGGCGTTCGCGGGGTGCCTGACATACTGGCGCGTCGGAGAGGGGGAGCACGACAAGGCGAGAGGGAAGAGCGCGTAAGCGCCCGTGAGGCAGACGCGCCGAGACGCGTGAACGCACCGCGTCTTACGAGGTCGCCCAACGGCGGAGCCTCTGTATTCGTGCAAACTTCACGGGTCGCTGAAAAAATGCTTCGTATCATCTCATATAAAGTTAAGGAACCTTTTCTGAGCTTCATAGTGTCAACAGACAGGTCCTGAATATTTTTCATGGCAGAGTGCTCGGGCACTCGATTTGACGTTTGAGTGCTCAGATGCGGCATCGATTGGGTGAGTTGTGTCCATCCCAGACGCCTCGGAGGTAGATGGGCGTGTTTGTATGCTTCGAAATAACATTTCGTACTGCAAGAGCTACTCAATCGACGCGTATTCGCGACCGCTAGACGGGCGAGAACAACCCCCTTACTTTCATGGACTTTGAAGCAAGCCCCTCCTCTCGTCGGTGTGCGGAGCACGAAATACCACGTGAGGAGGCGGCTTGTTCCGAACCTAGAACGATGCGGGATTATGGCTGGCCCAGTGCGAAAGTCTGTAGCGAAAAGTCGCTGGAAGAGGGAGAAGATAATATATCAACTCACAACACACGATTGCGGGGCAATTGACGAGTCAGAAATGGGTCGAAGGCCTGGCCCCGGGATCTAACGAGTAATCATTAAGTAGTAAGTCACGGTAGGCTGCCTAGAAGTAGAACTTACTTGGTTCGATACGCGTCTCGCGACGTTCTGTTCGACTTGCTGCTCAGCTACATATTTTGCACACGCGAACCGTCTCGTCACGCCGGAGTGGAGGCCAGCCAGTAGAGGGAACTTGGGGGAGAAGCGGCGAGACAAGCGACGCAGCCCAGTATTTATACACACGAGCAAACCGGGACTTTCTATGTAGAAGAGTGTGTGTGTTATTTTTGCAATTAGCAAATCGGAGAGACGTCGACGAGGGGCAGATGGTTCGCAAGGAAGCGTGATGCGCTGGTGACGCGTGAAGGGCGAGCGATCGTTTGACAGATCAGGAAGGAGTGCTACCTTATATGGTAAGCAGACACATGAGCACCTGTCCCGGTGACGGACGGCCCTTCAGTCCCCTTCGAACTTTGACAATAAACCATTCGCTTGGCGCGAGGCTGACAGCGTACGAGCAGTGCTATTTATGTCCGCGCAGGCCATATAGGCATATGTTTGTATGAAATCCTTGTAGTGAGCACAAAGGGATCATACATAAATGCCTGTACTTACCTGGGCCTGCTTTCATACATGAGCTGCCACTCGCTCATGTATGAGCGAGGCGCCGTCATGTATGAACGAGGCGCCGTCAGGCGTTACCTGATATGGCAGCTACGCCGGGGCAGCCCGGTCCCTTCGTCCACGGCGGGGCGCGCGATGCGACGCTACCCCATATGGACATACATCGGGGTCAGCGCATCTGAGATCACATACGATCTCGGATCCCCTACGCCGCCCGCTGCGTAGCGTCAATTTCGGCCAAGTCCGGAAGCCTGCAATGAGCGGCGAGCGCTTCCACCCGCCGTCTTTGCGACCTCCACATCCCGCGTCAGTCACCGGCGTTGTCGGAGCCCACCGCGCACGAGTCGGCGGCACGACGACAGCGAACATGCAGGGCCAGTGCCCCGCAAGCAGACACAGCCGACGAACGCGCAGCGGGTGTGTCAACAAAGGGCGAATGTGAGTGCAGATGCACATGAACGAGCGAGCTGACCATGGCCACAGGATGCGGCGACGTGCAGCACAACCCGCGCGTCGACCGCGAGCACGCAGGACTATGGCCCCGCGTGCAAACGCAGCCGACGGACGGAGCGCGGGGGCGCGAGGGCGGGCGGGTGACCAGGCGGATGCGCACGCAGGCAGACGGGCAAGCAGGTAGACGGAAAGGTGAGCGGACAGGTGGGAAAGCGGACGAGTAGGAGAGTGACCAGACGGGCAAGCGAACCGGCGACAGCACACGCCCACCGCGAGCGCGCTGGGCCAATGCCCAGCACGCAGACACAGCCGACGGATGCATACGCAGGCGGATGAGTAGGCGGGCAAATGGGGACGTAGGCAGGCGAGCGGGTGGACGAATGGGCGTTGCGGACGAGCGGAAGGGTGAGCGGACGAGCCGGTGGGTGGACGCGCAGGACGAGCGGGCGGGTGGTCCAGACGGGCATAGAAGCGCACAAGCAGGCAAGGAGGCGAGCGAGCAAAGGAGCGAACGGGTAGGCAAGTGGATCAGCGGGTGCACGGGAAAGCGGGTGGATGGCGAGCCAGAGGGCAGGCGGGCGAGAGGGACAGCGGGCGAGAGGGAAAGCGAGCGAAGGGGAAACGGGCGGGCCCGGAGTACGGAGCACTACACGCACGGCGACCGCGAGCGTGCCGGGCGAATGTCCAGCACGCAAGCACGGCCGACGAACGGAAGGCAGGCGCGTGAGCGAAAGCGAGTGACCGCGACGGCGGGCAGAGCAGGGGCGTGCGCAACCCTACGCGGCAACCGCAAACACTGAGGGCGACTGCCCTACTGCCTCCGCATGTAGCCACGGTCGATATGTTCGTAGATAGAGATCGAAATAGAGGCCTTGTAATGATAGCAAGAATATGCCCTATAAAACGAGTTCAGTATATGTCACGCCGCAACAACTCTTATGACCGAGGCTCCGAGAACCAGTATAGTAGTGTACGTAGCCGTTCCAACTGTACACGAGGACTTTGGCTTGTGTGTTGTACTCCTGCACTTTATGTGTTGTATTACATGCAACCATACATATATCTAATCTCTAAGGTATGCATACACAGTGCGGAAACCTGCGAAAACGCCCAGAAGTCGAGTCGCGGGTATGTTGCAGGCCTAAGTAGGACCTTTAAACGCATTCTGATTGGTCGAGAACAAGCCCGAGCACATCGGGGCTGCCAAATCTGGCGATGCAACAAATAGACACAAACGTTGAGTTTACGGGCGCCCGCAAGGCCCACCTCACTTCTACGTGCTACCTCAACTCTACCGTCTCGCTTTCATGTTTTAAGTCTGCACGGAACGCAACGGCGGAGACTCGGACGCGCATTCAGGAATGATTTCAACCAGGTAAGCTTGTCTGGCCTGGCCATCAATGCACACGCACTAATCTACCACCCACTCCAGACCCACCCTCTCGTCAACGAGTATGTTGGACGGCGCGTTGACGAGCGTGTCGTGGCGCATTGACCAGTAGAAGTATGTCAGTGGGTTTGAAAGGATGCGCTCGCTCGGGCGGAACCTGACGGAGGCGGAACTGCAAGACACGATCAACAAGGTCGACGTAGACGGGAACAGCACGATTGACTTCCCCGAGTCCCTCGCGATGATGGCGCACAGATGCGTGGCACGGGACAGCGAGGAGATTAAGGAGGTGCTCAGGGTCTTCGACCAGGACGGCAATGGCTACATCTTCACCGCGGAGCTCAGGCACGTCATGATGAACCTCGGTAAGTGCCCTTGTCTGCGTGGAGGAGTGGCGATGTTGATCATGCGGATGGTGCACAGGCGAGAGCTGTCGGTCAACGAGGTCAATCAGATGATCCGCGAAGCGGATGTCAATGGCAATGGTCATATCAAACTACGATGGTGTGTCTTTGCTGTTCGACGCTTTGTTGCTTTTCAAAATCCGTGCCATCCTCCTGTCCCGCGCAAAGGTCGTGAGGGTATGCTCACTACCTCATCATCTACGCTGCCATCATGCTGATCTGTCTCGCGGATGATGCTCTCCAAGTAAAGACATGTACGACTAGTAGTCCATCTCGTAATATATTTGCGAGCCCCGCGGTATGGTAGTGCATTTGCAATGCGATGACAGAAACCCCATACATCATTCTAGCTAACTTTTCTGCGTGTGTCCTGGATGTCTCGGCTTTTGAATATTTATAAATCGTAGGGTGCGACGTATGCAGTGCATATGTCATGGCGCACGACATACACCATGTTCGGATCATCTCAATACATAGGCACCATCCTAAACGGGTTGCGGCTATATACAGACCTGTCAGATCGAGCTGATCACGGATCACAACTGCATTTGCCCGATCCGTGCCAGCGACGGCACCTAAAGTGGAAGGGCGCGCGATAGGACCTATTTAGGGTCGCCGCGAGCTCTCCCTGGCGCCGGGTGGCCTGGGCTGTCCATAAAGGGCAGCTGCCCTTTCGGGAAGCGAGCGGGGCGCCGGCTGCAGTGATCACTGTGCCTTCATACATGAAGGGGGATTGTAAGTACAGGGATTTATGTATGACCTGTTTGTGCTAACAACAGGTATTCATACATGAGCATGCCAGCATCTGGTGGTCCGCGATCCGGGCCCAGGCCCCAACTTGAACAGGTGCGGCTCTCAGTTCGGACCCGCCCAGTCCTACAGTTAGTCAGTCTGCGTCGCCGCCTTCCAGTTCGTCGAGAGCGCGCCAGTAGAGCAAAATTACAGAAATAGTTTGTATCATAAGTACTGACTGTCTGTTGAGAACGCAATCAGCGAGGTAGAAAGACGGGCGAGAAGCAAAGAAAATACATATGGGAAGCGCACGGGCGGCCCGGCCGCTTTCCCCTCCACGAAGGCAAATAGCTCGTCTCCCGGCGAAGGGTGACGCAGCGGCGAGGTTTGAAAACTTGAGCGTTTGACGAGTGGATTGTGTGTACGCGATACTTAGCGCAGTTTCTACAATTCTCCTTCAACGCTCTCACGATGTTCTGTCTATCAATGCGATTTTCATCCAAGGACATACGGAGAATCATGTCAAATAACGGAAACCCTTCGGAAGGCCTTCCTCTTCCTCTTCCTCCGCAAACCGTCTATTAAAGCGGTCCAAATGACGCTTAAACACATAGCACAAGAAGATACAAAACCCGTTCGTCGTAATGCAGATCGCGTACGAGTAGCGGTAGGACGGGCCCCAGCTAGTCGGCCAGACGTACCTGGAGAACTTGTATGTCAGTCACAGGTAGAGCGGTGACATGAAGGAGGACGCGTACGAGCCAGCGACGTTCCCGAGCTGCGAGAACGCGTTGATGAACGCGAGCGCGACGGCGCGTTTCGCGCTCGGCCGCGGGATGGAGTTGCTCACCCACGCGAGGAAGATGATCCACGCCGTGTAGGACTGCGCCATCAGGAATCTGTACGCGGGACGGTGAGCGGAGCTGCCAGTACAGAGGGCGAAGAACCGACAGGGAAATGTAGCGCGCGGCGGTGTTCATCGTGCTCGCTGCGATGACGAACCCCACGACCCCGAGCAGAAGGGGGATAGCAATGTGCCAGAAACGCTCGCCGGTCTTGTCAGAATGCCTGCAGGATGAGCGAAGCGCAGTCGATCAATCCACAGTTTTAACGACGGATGTCGGCACACGCACCTCGTCACCACAAACGCAGCCACCGTCGCGAAGCCGAATGGCGGCGCACACAGGAGCAGCGTGACCGTCTCTGGGTACCCCAACGTCGCGCTCAGCGTCGGGAAGAACGCGTTGAACGAGAGCGAGATGACCATGCTGGCCAGCGCCAGCGCGAGGCACCACACCTTCCAGTCCGCGAGTGCCGTCCGCAGCCCCGCGAGCTGGCCCCCCTCAGACCGCGCACCGTCTGCGGTCCCGTCGGGGATGCCGACGTCCTCGAGGACGCGCTTCTCTGCGAGGCGCACCTCGAGCGGACTGAGCCACCGGTGTGCGGTCGAGGGGAAGTCGGGGAGGACAAAGATCGCACAGACGGCGACGAAGATCGTGAGCGCGCCTTCGATGTAGAACAGCCATCTGCAGACATGGTTCGCTTGACCGATGCGGAGCGGGGATGGAAGAGCGGACTGACCTCCAGGCGGCGTGGCCGAGCTTGCCCTGCATGCCGTCGAGGATCCCGGAGGCGATCAGGGACCCGAAGGCGTTGCTGATGAGCAGGCCGCAGGAGAGGACGGCGGTGCGCAGGCCGAGCTCGGAGCGGGTGTACCACTTGGAAAGGAGGAAGAGCGCGCCGGGGAAGAACGCGGCCTCCACGAAGCCGAGGAAGAACCGCGTCATCAGCGTGCCGACAAAGCTGACAGACGGAGCGGTGAGTCGGGTACAGGACGGGTCGCAATGGAAGGGTGGGCGTACGTTGTAGTGGCTCCTGTGAGGCAGGATATCAAGCCCCAGAGGATCACGCAGCAGGGGAGGTAGATGGAGGGTCGGCCCATGTAATCGAGTAACATGTTTCTGTGTGGGAACGTCAGCATCGTGCCGGTCCGCTGAACGGTCGAAAACTTGAAACGCTTACGAAGGGACCTGCATGAGGATGTACCCAACGTACAAAATGCTCAGAAGCGTGTCGTACTGCTGGCCTTCCAGTTTTAAATCGGCCTCAAGTCCGCGTAGCCTCGCGGCGCTGAAGGACAGCCTGTCAGCGACCGACAAGATTTGTGCTGTCAGGATCTACTCACGACACATTGTTCCTATCGATCTACGCGTCAAGTCCACGTCAGTCAGTTGTAAAGCAGATTCGGAGCGGTTGACGATGACTTTACATAGTTGAGAATGTAAATCACAATGAGCACAGACAGTCGCAAGTCAAGCTTTCTGAGGAGCTTCTTCTCGAGGGCCTTGCGTGCCTCGGTGCCTCCAAATTCCTCGTCGCCGTCATTCACGACTCGGAGGAGTTGGGGCTGCTGGTCCTCGATGTCATCGAGCTCTGCCTTTTTGACGTCTCTGGCAGACATGACGGACATTGGACGAACGCGCGGCGAAGAGACGAGCACAGGTATCACTGGCAGGACTCTGTTTTTCTATTAGTGTGAAGCCCTGACTTCGGCGGCTGCCCCGAGTGAACCTTAAACGGGGGCTCGAGGCAGCTAGCCAAGTACTAGGACATGAAGTTACAGAAACGCAAAGCACGGGGTGGCCCCGAGCTGTTGGGAGATGCTGATAGCATGCAGCGGGGAGAGTATGAAACTTAGCTTGGGTTTGGGTAAATTGAGTACTGTATCACGATGAGTGCTGGCAGACGCACTGGCAGACTGCCTTCCTCGGCCCGGTCCGTCGCGTAAGTTGGAGAGTAAATACAATCGTGATGAATGTTTTACGTCGTTGAGGGTGGTCTCCCATGATCGCTTGCAGGGATCCCTCACACGGGTACCATTTCCGTTAGACTCGAGGCTCCTTCAAATGAACGGCATTAGTCGCAGCTGGAGGTTCTTCGCGGCGCGAGCTGCAGCACCTCTATGATACGACGGAGCTCAGGACTAAGGTAGCAATGACCAGCCCTCCGGTTTCTGCCTCTGATCAGAGACCGCCGTGACGAATGTGCATCAGGACACGGCAGCTATGCCGTACACTGGGGACGAAGGACTGGGGTGCTGATGCCCGGCACGAACTGGCGTCTGGTGGCTACCGAGGCTGCGGGGGTGAATCAAAATACGAACGACCACATTTAAATTTTACACTCACATGCACATATGCAGCGGGCATTCAAAGCGAGCCGTCTCATTGCACGACTACTTAAGGGAGGATATATGTATGAGAAGAGAACATGATCTCCAGTTTTACGAGTTGCCAAGGGCGGTGCGTGGTAGCTCTGCCAGGGGCGAAATACATTGGCACGGATTAACGTTCGTGACAGGTGGACGTCAGTAAGAAGTCCTGGGAGGTCCCGGGACTACACAACGTCCAAACTCCTCCGAGTCATGTCGGTGTGTATTATCTGCATATAGTCTGTTTGCAATGAACCGACCTGACCAAGAAGTCTCAAAACAGTACTTACAGCGCAATGGCAACGCGTGAGGAGTCAAGTAGGCACGGAGTGGCATGTAGAAATGAGAAATGCGGTACGACTCGGACGTTTCGTCTTCTACTGGCGCTTGCCCACGTGTCACGCGTCTCTGTGTACTGAATGTCCAGGTCCTAATTCGAGCTTCAGTGTCATTGGTAACCCGCTCAAGTATCGGGGGCACTCACGGCCTCTGAACCCGCCTCGTCTATGTCCTGTGGGTCAGATCCACCGTCGAGCGCCTCGAGCGAGTACGTGGTCGAAGGGGACATGTCAGTACGGTACTGGCTGAAGAAGCTCTGCGCATTACACGTTAGTGCCGGAGTTGTGTCGACTTCCAGTATCGCCGCACCTCCAAATCGGCCTTGTTGGCCCATTCGTAAAAGTACCCAGTGACACCGAGCGTATTGGACGGTTCTGTGGCAGGGGTGGCGGGAATACCATACAGAGATTGCAGACATGCAGGCGTAACAGTGCTGCCGCAGGCAGCGGCGACAGGATTGTCCGCGGGGGCTTGCTGCTGCTCCTTCTGCTGAGTAGCGAAGGCGGGTGATAGGGCTGAGAACTTGGGGAACCTGAAATAAGTAGAACACGTCAGCATGTGGCCGTCGGTGACCAAAGCACTCCGGGTATCCATACATGATAGTGGGATGGATACAGTAACATGACTCGTGAGCCCAGAAATGAAGTATTCCAGCGTCCGAAGAATCTGTTTCCCAGTTTCGCCGTAGACATAAACGTTGTAGTTCGCACCGAACAGCTCGTTCGCCTGCACCACAGTAGTCTGGATGCTGGTCCAGTCACCAGCCGGGGTGAGAACTGTAGAGTTGATGCCGTTCTGCTGCAACCACGACTCGTACACGGCAGACGCTGTCTCGGACGTCGGTGCAGCGTATGCCGCCGCCTATCCCAGGCAACGTCAGTTCCGACTCCACTGCGTGAACATTGGTCCTCGTACCTCTGCCTTGCTTAGATGTCGACCATAGTTTGGGCTCGACGGGGTGCTCACACCGTAGAGGGCGTCTTCAAGCCCCGACGGATTACTTTGCGTCAGGGCGGTCTTGAGGGTTAGCGGCGTACCGGGAAAAGCAGCCCCCGTGAGCGTGAAACCAGATGGTACTCTGTCTGCGTGCGACCTTGGGAAGACACTGCGACCCAGCACCACTGAGGCATCAAGCGAGAGGAGCGTGACGACTTTGAGCAGACCTCGTACGGAGAACATGATCCCTTTGAAGTGCGGGGATGCAGAGAGCGGGTGCGACGGGTGAAGATGTGTAATGTACTGGCGTCGCTACCTGGTCGCTACTGAGCAGCATTGCCGCAACGAACGTCTGGAAGTCCACCCGGGTTTGGCAGTCCATCCGCATGGTGCTGTCAGGGATCGCGTGTGAACGCGGAGAGCCGACATACATTGCGCATCGATACGATACCGACACCAAAAGAATCCGACTAGGGAAGGTGCCGGGCATCGACTCGCCTGAGCCCAGCGTCGAGCGAGCGGCCTCAGGCTGCTATGCATATGCAGTCTAGTGCTATGTATATTGCGGTGTATGGCCACCGTCGTCCCAGTCAGCTTGCGGTAGAGCCTCGCGTCAGCAACAGGCAGACGGAGCGCATGAGATAAGTACGACGCCTGCTGCCATGCAGTCCCACGATCGGCGGCAGGGAGGCTATCGGCCATATATGGTAGGTATGGGCGTTAAGGCTGTTGCACAACAACGCCAAACAGGTCGCCGTACGGCCGGTCACGTGCCCATGACCACCTTCCGACTCGTTTCTACATTCTACCATCCTTCTACTTGGTGTCGAATACATGGTCGAATATGACAAGCGAGCCGACTGTCTAATCCCATGCATCGGTGCACGACCCCTGTCGTCTCGGCAAGCTTAACGAACTCGATCTTCCATAGGATCCGGAGGATTTGGACGATCTTACCCGCAAGTGGTATTGCATGAAATACCCGGAATACTTGCCTATCACCACCCTGGCTCGCAGATAGCCACTATGGCTGCCTGTTCGAGGCATCGTGCTACTGTACTACGCCAGCGGAGCCGTGCTCCTCTATGACGGGACCTATTTGCGAGCGCCCGACGGTCTGTGGTGCGTGTTGGTCAGTCTGGTTGCGTGGGGCTCCATGTCGCGCACGACGATCCTATTTTGGCGCAGTTCGCTGCATCGGGATGCTGGGACCGCGTAGGCCAATCAGGGAGCAGTGGCGATCGGTGTACGGTGACGTCACGCGTACGCCAGAGCAGGGGCTGGAGAAGGCTGGAGACGATGACGTCCGCCAAGGGCACGCGCACCTACAGTCGAATATCATGTCGCCTCCCTCGACCGCGTCTGCACTCTCGATCCTCGTCTCTGCTGCACTGCACACCTCTCACTGCTACGACCTGCCACGAACCACCTCTACGTACGCCTGCCTAGCCACACCCACTCTCTGCACTCGCCCCCTCGATACCCATGTCGAGCATCAAGAAAGTCTTCCACCGCGCCCGTGAATCCATATCCTCAAAGAGCTCTATCCGTGCCAAGTCCCCCGACCCCAGCCCAACAGCCAACGGTCATGCACATCCTCTCCTCAACGGCAACGGAAAAGCAAACGGTGCGCCCATGGCCCCAGAGGTCGATGACACCAATGCAGAAGGTAAGACAGCCGCGCAACGTCAACAAGAAGAACAGTCGCAGACTCCCGAAACACATGGGTTTTACCGCCCTTCATCGGACGGGAGCAGAAGACTGTCCTTCACCGAGGAGAAGGTCAACCGAGCGCAGGAACGCGAGAAGCACGACGAGCAGGAGGAGAACGAGCGCAAGGAACGCAGAATACGCTTGCATGATCAGGTGCGCCCCGACGCACTTGGTGTTTTTGTGCAGCAGCTAATATACTATACCAGGACCCGTTGCGCGACAACTACGGCGACCTCCCGCTGAACATGTCGCAGGTCGAGCTCCGTACGTCCATTTCCTTGCAGCCTGTATGCGCGTCTCGGGACCGGCATGAGCAGTAGAGCCGCGCTCGTCATGGCATTTCATGGGGCCTTGCGTAGCTCATGGAGCTTGTTATTGATCGCTCGATGGTGCATTGCGCGTCACTCGTACATCCTCAAGGGCGCTCGTGACTTCCTGCTCTCTCTTGCTCTTGCTTGCCTGGGTCTGCTGCGTAGTTCGAGCTGCACTCCGCGTGACTCCGAGATGAAACTTACCTTGAGATGCACAGCTCCCGACCTGAACTCGCTCATTTCCGTCGTCGACACGCCGGAAGGCGAGCACGTCAAATTCCGCGCACGCATACACCACATCCGGCCGCTCGGTACGTGTATCTCGTCGTTCCGCATGACTCGCCGGACATTGCCATTGATTCCAGACACTCTTGAACAGGCTCCAAGATCGTTTTCCTCATCTTTCGGTCGCAACTCACGACTCTCCAAGGCGTGCTCATCGAGGAGGAAGGAAAAACATCGCAGAACATGGTCCGGTGGGCGGAGGGCCTGAACCGCGAGTCCATCGTCGTCGTCGAAGGCGTGGTACAGAAGCCGAAGGACGGCCAGGAAGAGGTGCACTCGACGAGGGTACACAATCACGAAGTCAAGGTTGAAAAGGTCAGTTGGGCTCGTGTAGTAGACGGCTTGAGGTGGCTGATGGTCTGGGATTGCAGCTGTTCGTGGTGCTGGGCCCGGCTGCGACTTTGCCGTTTCAGGTAGAGGACGCCGCGCGGCCAGAGGAGTACTACCAAAGGGTATGTATCGATAATTAGTTGATGCACATCGGCCGCCTGACGAGCACTCTTTATACAGGAAGGTGCTCATTTCCCGCGCGTGAACCAGAAGACGCGCCTTGCCAATCGAGTCCTTGACCTCCGCGTACGTTGATCTCTAGGAATGATCGCCTGCTTTCTCTCACCGAGTGTGCACAGTCCCCCGTCAACCAGGCCATCTTCCGCGTCCGCTCAGGCGTCTGCACGCTCTTCCGGGAATACCTCCTCGCGCGCAAGTTCATCGAGATCCAATCGAGCAAGTTCCAGGAGAGCGGGACGGAGTCGGGCGCGGCGGTGTTCAAGGTGGACTACTTCAGGCGGCCGGCGTTCCTCGCGCAGAGCCCGCAGCTCGCGAAGCAGATATGCATCGCGGCGGACATGGAGCGCGTGTTCGAGATCGGGCCCGTGTTCCGCGCGGAGAACTCGAACACGCACCGGCACCTGACCGAGTTCACGGGCTTGGATTTGGAGATGCAGTTTGATAACCATTATCATGAGGTGCTGGATATGCTGGATGGGATGTTCAAGTTCATCTTTCGGGGCTTGCAGGAGAGGTTGCGCGACGAGGTGGGTGCTTGGCGCGCTCAGGGTCGTTCTGGCGGGCTCGTGTTGACGCTATGCATTTGGCAGATTGAGACGGTGAAGACGCAGTTCCCGCACGACGACCTGGTTATCCTTGACGAGACGCCGCGGATACGGTTTGCGGATGGGATAAAGATGTTGAGGGAGGCTGGGTACAAGGATGACGACGGCGAGGAGCCGAGCGAGTATGAGGACCTCAGCACGAACGCGGAGCGCTACTTGGGCCAGCTCGTGAAGGAGAAGTACGGCGCGGATTACTACATCCTCGACAAGTTCCCGCTTGAGGTCCGGCCGTTCTATACGATGCCGGACCCGGAGAACGACGTGAGTGTGGTTTTCCCTTGGCGATGAATCGATGCGCTGAGCTAACGCGATGCGCCCTGTAGCAATTGTCGAACTCGTTTGATATCTTCTTGCGTGGGGAGGAGATCCTGTCTGGTGGTCAGCGCGTACATGTAGCACCGATGCTGGAGGAGCGCATGAGGGCTGCGGGTGTTGACCCGGACCAGTTGAAGGACTACGTGAACGGCTTCAGGTGGGGGTGCCCTCCGGTGCGTGCATCAGTCTCTTCTCGTCGTGGTCGACACTGAAGTATATCGTGTTCTTCAGCATGGCGGAGGAGGAGTTGGTCTTGAGCGCGTAGTGATGCTGTTCCTCAAGCTGGGCGACATCCGGTACGCGAGTCTACTTCCGCGAGACCCACGCAGTTTCGCGAGGACCGGTCAGGACCTGGCAGAGATGTCGATGGCGGCGGCGACGCATCAGATCATGCATGGACCGGAAGCATCGACATACCAGGAGGGCATTCCGCACGGGGATTTGCCCCCGCTTGAAGATGTACGCTATTCGACTTTGTCGGAGGTGGGTGTGACTGACGTGAGTCCGTATCCCTCTGCAGCTCGTCGCGAAGTACGGAGACTCGACGAACACGTCCTGGATAGACCCGTCGTGGACAGTCTGGAGGGATGTTCGGACCGGCGCGGCGGTGGGTTACATCCCGCAGAACGGCTTTGCGGCCACGTTCGGGGCCCCGCTTTGCGAGCAGAAGCAGGTGCCTGGCGTCATCGACCGATACCTCAAGTTCGTGCGTGGCGAGGGCCTCAAGCCGGTGTGGTGCTGCATCGACCACGACGTGGAGCGGATACTCGCGGAGGATCTCGGGTGGAGCGCGATCATTGCTGTCGCGGAGGAGAGGCTGAACCCGACGGAGGTCGACCCGGCGAACAACGACAAGACTGTGCGGAGGAAGATACATAGGGCGGAGCGGGAGGGCGTGAAGGTCGTGGACGTGGACGGTGAGCCGGACGGGAGGGTGCGGGAGATGCTGGACAAGAGGTGTAAGGAGTGGGAGGAGTCGCGGAAGGGCACGCAGATCCACCTCACGGGCGTGCGGCCGTGGGACGATATGAAGCACAGGAAGTACTTCTATGCGCTGGACAAGGAGGGGAACGTACGTTGTCTCTCTGAAGGGGCGTGTCTGCTTTTGTGCGGCGCTGACGGTTTTTTAGGCCTGCGCTATGGTGGTCCTTGCCCAGCTCGCGACGACACATGGGTTCCAGGTCAAGTGGGCACTCGAGTTCCCTGGTGCGCCCTTGGGCGCGATTGAGTATATTCTCTCGCACGTCATCAAGAAGCTCGGTGATGCCGGGGTGACTACCGCGACGTTCGGCGCTGGCGCGACGGACCGGCTGCAGCGCGTAGAGAACGTCGGTGGCCTGCGGGTCCGGACGCTAGAGAAGACGTACAACGGCTTGAACTCGACGTTCAGCCTCGGCGGGAAGGGCGACTTCAGGCAGAAGTTTGGAGTGCAGCAGGAACCGGTGGGTGCTTGTCGTTATGTGTGATGAGTGGTGGGAAACTGACTTGTTCATAGTTGTTCATCTGCTACCCGAAGGGCGGCCTCGGTGTCAAGGGCATCGAGGCTATCATGGGCGCGCTGCAGAAGCCGAAGCCGTCAGACACCCCCGTTACTGAGCGCGTGACGAAACAGACGTCCCAATGACAAGTCTGTGGCGAACCTTCCGGCTTGGTGACACGATGGACTGCTTATCCCATTCTGCATACCCTAGTTTCTTCTCCCGATTTCGTCTGTGCCATCAATATACGCGCATAGACGGGACACCCTGCATATCATTTTCGTTACCTTACTCACGCGGATACGAACGCCTGCTTTCAGCGGATTTCTGTAGGATTAGTTACTTTGGAACACGATATCAATACAACTAATGTAGAGCACTGTATTACTCATTGACACTTTTGAATGGACTGCGACGGCGTGGCGCGACGGGCTAGCTGACCGGTGACCGAGTTGCAGGCCGTACATGTACAGTGGTCAGGGTCAGCCACGTAGGATGGCGAATGGTACTTGAACGATGCTGTGCAACCTTGGCTATGATGCGTGACGTATCGGTCAGTGGCTGCGAGTGCCAGTAGTAATACATAATTTACTTTTAGAAAGTCGGGGAATGTAGCAACTTCGCTCGAGTCGGAAGGTGGTCATGAGCACTCCTCCGAGTATTAGATAGTAGAGTGTCGTCGTAGTACGTAGTCCTATGGGTTGTGGTGTTGTAGTTGGCGAGCGCTGTCATCGTCAAGTCGCTGTGGCTGTCGGTCGATGGCTAAATGGATCCCTCCTCCTCCTCCTCCTCCTCCTTCAGCGACCTGTTTGGCGTTGTTGTGCAACAGCCTTAACGCCCGTACCTACCATATATGGCTGCTGCTGTAGGACTACTACGCGTCACAGTCATGGCAGGCTTCGTACTTATCTCACGCACTCTCTCCTTCTGCCTGTTTCTGACGCATGGCCGACGAAGCTCTACCGCAAATCAGACGACGAGCTCATGCGACGGTGCACCAGCTTCTCAAGACTGACACACTTGTTGAGAACGGACGTTTCTGAGACGCGCTTGACGCGCTCGTGCTCGCTGCCCGCGCCGGACTTCAAGCTTCAACTCGAGCAATCAAAGTTGGTGTCGCTGATTACAACGCTGAACTTGGAGATGCTGGGGAAGCCTACAACGCAGAAGGCTGGCAATGGAATTGGCTCTGTGGGCCAGACAGAGAGAAGGTATGGATCAGTGTTCTATGCCTTGGCCACGCCGAAGGGCAGTAACATGCTACATCATGTGCTGTCAAATTAAACATTGCTGAAGCACCGCTCGAGGTTCTCAAAATCAAACCAATACTCGTTGGAGAGCCGAGAAGAGCCTGAGGGGTGGGTCAGCGACACCACGCCTAGGCGCTCCGTTTTCGACACATCGCGGTCTTCGGCAGACACAAGTGGTGTGCCGCTCTTCGTCACTCATGGTTATTGTACTGATGCTGCAAAAACAAGGCTACGAAGGCGTGGGTCGAGTCTTCCGCGTTTTTTCTTCTCAGGGACAGAATGGCCAGCTGTCGATAGCGGAACAATATGCACCTTTCGCACAATGGGTCGCACAAGAGACGCATCGCGCATCGAGGCTAATCCCACTCGATGACCTGGATTCGTGCTGTATTGCTAGTCCGCCGCGGCTACGTTCTACTGGAACATGCTGTACTGAAGGACATTGATGGGCACTTGCCTATCTCGATCTCAGGCTCTTGGACAGCAAAGCCTCCACCGACAGTCCGTTATGCGGTTCCTGTGTCGACATGGCGCTACGTTCCTATAAGCTGACTTTTGGATCCATATGCCAGAAGCATACCCCGCAGACACTGCAGATATATCTGACCACGAAAAGGCGTCTCGACTTTTGTAAGGTGTGTCTGCGATCAGCAGCGAACGGAGTGTACTTGCCAGCGGGGGGGGGGGGGGGGGGGGGGGGGTTCGATCGTCTGTTGCCATTCAAGTGCCGCTCGCTGCATCCCTGCACTCCCACTCGATCATGGTCTCTGCAGGCTCGCTGAAAGCCGCCGCGCTCCTTTCGCTCGCCACCTCAGGAGTGCTGGGTCGCAGTGTCTTATCAGAGTATCGCAGAGACACAGCACCATCAGAGTTCAAGCTCGCGGGACCAGCTATCCCCGATACGCCGCTGACCCTTAAGATCGCCTTGACGCAGAGCAACCCTTCAGGGCTTGAAAATGTTCTCTACGATGTCAGCACGCCGTCGAGCCCAAACTATGGTAAACATCTAAGCAAGGCAGAGGTATGAGATCTAATATTTGCACAGTGGAGTCGGAACTGATGTTGCCTTGGATAGGCGGCGGCATACGTTGCACCGACATCTGAGACAGCGTCCACTGTCAACTCGTGGTTCCAGCAGAACGAGATCAACTTTACAAACCTCACTCCGGCTGGTGACTGGATTAGCATCCAGACTACTGTGGGACACGCGAACGAGCTGTTCGGCGCAAACTACAACGTTTATGTCCATGGCACAACTGGGAAGCAGGTTCTTCGGACGTTGGAATACTCTGTTCCTGAGGAACTCACGAGTCATGTTACTGTCGTCCATCCTACTGTCATGTATGGATACCCGGAGTGCTTTGGTCACCGAACCGCCACACACTGATGTGTCAAATTTTAGGTTCCCGAAGTTCTCAGCCCTATCACCCGCCTTCGCTACTCAGCAGAAGGAGCGGCAGCAAGCCCCCGCGGACAATCTTATCGCCGCCGCCTGTGGCAGCACTGTTACGCCCGCATGCCTGCAATCTCTGTATGGCATTCCCGCCACCCCCGCCACCGAACCGTCTAATACGCTCGGTGTCACTGGATACTTCGACGAATGGGCCAACAAGGCCGATTTGGAGGTGCGGCGATGCTGGAAAGACACGACTCCGACACTAACGCGTAATGCACAGAGCTTCTTGAGCCAGTACCGTACTGACATGTCCCCTTCGACCACGTATTCGCTCGAGGCGCTCGACGGTGGATCTGACCCACAGGACATAGACGAGGCGGGTTCTGAGGCTGTGAGTGCCTCCGATACTTGAGTGGGTCCCAAATAACGCTGAAGTTCAATCAGGACCTGGACATTCAGTACACAGTCGGTATCGCGACCGACGTACCGGTGATTTTCATCTCGGTCGGCGAGTCCAACAACGATGGGGACCTTGATGGCTCGCTAGATACCATCATCTATCTGCTTAACCAGGATTCGCCACCTCAGGTGATCACGACGAGCTACGGAGACTGGGAAACCGACGTTGATCAAGGAATGGCAGTGTGAGTGCTCGATGATGTGACGGCGAGCTGTATGCTGATATGATCGCGACACAGTAACTTGTGCAACGCGTACGCTCAGCTGGGTGCTCGCGGTGTGTCCATCATGTTCGCATCCGGTGACGGCGGCGTGTCCGGGATACAAAGCATATCTTGCACCACATTCGTCCCCGATTTCCCTGCTGGATGCCCATAGTAAGTGCTCAGCAAACGCATGAACCTTAGTCTCATCCTCGCTAGCATCACGTCCGTGGGCGGAACCACGGGAACCAACCCAGAGACCGGCGTCTACTTCTCGGGCGGCGGTTTCTCCAACTACTGGGCGCGACCCTTCTACCAATCCACCGCCGTCCCCGAGTACTTGGAGTATCTCGGCGCTACCTACGCTGGTCTCTACAACGCGTATGGCCGCGGCTTCCCCGACGTCGCCGCCCAGGCAGTGCACTTCGCGATCGTCACTAACGGCAGCACTGTGTCTGCCAGCGGGACGAGCTGTGCTAGCCCGACTTTCGCGTCTGTCATCTCGCTCCTGAACGACGAGCTCATCGCGGCTGGAAGGCCTCCGCTTGGGCTCCTCAATCCGTGGCTGTACGCGGTCGCGGCGTTCGCACTCACGGATGTTACGTCGGGGAATAATCCGGGCTGCAACACCACTGGCTTCTCGGCTACGACAGGCTGGGACCCGGTGCGTTTATTGCCTGTTGATATGCGGTCTGCGTGAGGGACGCTCGCTAATGTTACGAGTGTAGGTTACGGGACTGGGAACCCCTATATACCCCAAGCTCAAGACAGCGGCAGGGCTGTGACCGTCTCGGATGATCGTAGTGCTTATGATATGATTCTGACGTCGCACAAGTCATTTGAGTCCTAGTGAGCTGTCAATCAAGCGCCGATCGAAACCTCCCTACTGAAAGTACACCCGTCGAAGTATGAGAAGAGCCTGACGGGCGATTCGGCGTCAACGGAGGACAGCTGTCAGGTTGGGCTTGAAGTTCGCCATAACCACGGTCTTCAGCAGACAGATCTAAGATGGTATGTCGCTCTGTTTTACGGCTGTGTCGCGGCCATGATACTGAAGGTGACAGTTGATATCTCCACTTTACTGGAACTTGGGATACTGAAGGTCATATATTGGCTGAAATCATGGACGTGTACTTCGCCGCAGATATCACCCTCAGCCGCTAGTTTGGCAAAGCGTCAACACACACCTTCCATCTTTACCTACCACTAGGTTCCCACTGTGCTGTGTTAGCCTTGATGGTCTAGGCGTACTACACAGAGACCACACGCCGATGATGCTCAATATGACTGGACGATGAACATCTAGCCTACGTTCGTGCGGTCTATGCAGCGAACGCCGGGGTGTACTTGCCGGCGGGAGAACTTACTACACTACTGTGGTATCATCATGCGGGAGAGGTTCAAGCGCCTTATCTAAGTATGTAGGACACTCACGTCCTAAATTAACACAGGTTTGTGATCATATCCGAATCGAAGACGCATGGTCTTCGAGTCTGCCTTCTGCGCTATCTCACTGGATTGGCGCACGCTAGGGGGTCCCGGGACGGGTACACCATGCTGCATGAGAATGTATGTGCACTGCACAGACTTCGTGCTTATCTCGCTCTTGCCTTCCGGTTGATCGTGTGACTCACCAAGCCCGACCACAAATGTCGACGGAGATGACGCTGACAATATAGCACTGTAAGTAGGCATAGCATGCCGCTTGCTGGGCCTTGGCACACATCAGCTTCTCCAGTCGGCTCTGTATCGGTGCGCAAGACTATATAGCCTCTTCAGGTTCACACACGATCTTTGACAGTCCCATGCTGATCGACCACTTTATCCGTATGGACTTCTAGATGTTCGTTGCGTCGACCCCGGCGATGCCACTATAAGAGATATCTGCAGCTGTCCGTCGCGTCCCAAGGGTCCGCCCTCCGCATCCCTGCACTCCCCGGTACTCATGGTTTTTGCAGGCTTGCTGAAAGTCGCCGCGCTCCTCCCCCTTGCCGCCTCGGGGGTGCTATGTCGCAGCGTCCCGAAGTATCGCAGAGATACAGCAGCACCCGGTTTCTCGCTCACTGGGGCAGCTGCTCCCGACACGCCGTTGACCCTCAAGATCGCCTTGACGCAGAGCAACCCTTCAGGGCTTGAGGATGCTCTCTACGATGTCAGCACCCCTTCGAGCCCAAACTATGGTCAACATCTCAGCAAGGCAGAGGTACGCGATCCAATACATGCATAGTTGAGTCGGGGACTGATGTTGCGTCGAATAGGCCGCGTCATATGTTGCACCGACCTCTGAGACGGTGTCCACTGTCAACTCGTGGTTGCAGAAGAACGGGCTCAACTCTACGATTATCAGCCCGGCTGGCGATTGGATCAGCATCCAGCCCACTGTCAGCCAGGCGAACGAGCTATTCAGCGCCAACTACAATGTCTACGTACACGACGACACTGGGAAACAGGTTCTTCGTACTTTGGGTTATGCCATCCCAGAGGAACTCGCGGGCCATGTTTCTGTCGTCCACCCCACTGTGATGTATGGGCGCCGAAGTCCGCAGAACGCTCTCATCCTGATGTACTTTGTCCTAGGTTCCCGAAGTATTCGGCCCTCGCACCCGTCTTCTCCTCTCAGCCCAAGAAGCGACAGCAACCCCGTGCAGACGATCTGTCCCTTGCCTGTGGTCTCAGCGTTACGCCTGCCTGCCTGCAGTCTCTGTACGGTATCCCTACCACTCCTGCTACGGAATCGTCCAACACACTTGGTGTCACTGGGTACGGCGACAACTGGGCCAACAAGGCTGATTTGGAGGTGAGACGATGCCACACGCAGCTGCAGCCTGTCCAGAGACCGAACTTACACATGATGTACAGAGTTTCCTGAGTCAATACCGTACTGATGTGTCGTCCTCGACAACGTACACGCTCGAGACGCTTGACGGCGGGTCTGATCCACAGACTAGCTCTGATGCTGGCGTCGAGGCGGTGAGTTCTCGCCGACATTCGTGTGGGTTCATCTGTGACGTATGCCCAATCAGGACCTCGACATCGAATACACAGTCGGTATCGCCACTGGTGTACCGGTGACTTTCATCTCTGTCGGCGAGACCACCAACGACGGGGACCTTGATGGCTTCTTGGATACGATCAACTACCTCCTTGGCCAAGACTCGCCTCCCCAAGTGATCACTACCAGCTACGGGGACTGGGAACCGGACATTGATGAAGGGATGGCGGTGTAAGTACCCAATGAAACCCCGGCGAGCACTATACTGACGGGGATTTCAACCCAGTAATCTGTGCAATGCATACGCTCAGCTTGGAGCACGCGGTGTGTCTATCATGTTCGCATCCGGAGATGGTGGCGTGTCCGGAGTTCAGGACAGGGACTGCACAACATTTGTTCCCGAGTTCCCTTCTGGATGTCCATAGTAAGCGCTTCGAAGGATCAAGTCTTCTCAACAAGAATATACTGATACCTTGCTAGCATCACGTCCGTGGGCGGAACGACAGGAACTCTCCCTGAGACTGCCGTCTACTTCTCGGGCGGTGGTTTCTCCAACTACTGGGCACGACCCTCCTACCAATCGACCGTCGTTCCCGAGTACCTTGACTATCTCGGCTCGACGTACTCGGGTCTCTATAACACATCCGGCCGCGGCTTCCCTGATGTTGCCACCCAGGCGCAGGACTTCGAGATAGTTACTGGGGGCAGCACTGAAACGGTTAGTGGCACGAGCTGTGCCAGCCCGACCTTCGCGGCCATCATTTCGCTCCTGAACGACGAGCTCATCGCGGCTGGGAAGTCTCCGCTTGGCTTCCTCAACCCGTGGCTGTACTCAACCGCCGCGTCCGCACTGACGGATATTACCTCGGGCGACAATCCTGGCTGCAACACCACTGGCTTCTCGGCCACGACAGGTTGGGACCCGGTGCGTTTCCTTGCATTCTGTACGTGAACGACGCTCGCTGACTCTACGACCACAGGTCACGGGTCTGGGAACTCCTGTGTTCTCCAAGCTCAAGACAGCGGCGGGGCTTTGAACGTCTTAGTTGATCTTAGTTCTACGACGATGTAATCCTGATGTCACTCCACAATGATGATGAGAGACTGTCTGCGGTTCCGTAGCGGTCTCAATTGTGGACACATCGGTTGAGACCACTAAAAGAGCATTGTCAGCGAGAGGGTTTCCGGCTTTATGCGTTCAGTACCTCTTTGATCGCGAGTTTCGCCCCCTGCCCATCATGTATGCTGGCACCTGGATCATCTCTAATGCCATAGACCTTGAGATCATTGAGTACCGCACCTGATAACGATTTGACGAACCAGCTCCCCAGCAGGGAGGATCACAACATCTTCGGGCCCTCACCTAGATCAAGCTGTTTGAGTGTGATATTCAACATGCAATGTGATGTGAGCATAGATACATAGTGCATAGCACAGTCGCTACAATTATATGGTGAGTCCGATATTAGGTTGACATACAATACAGGGGAGACTTCCGCGTACAACAGCATATCAGCAACGATACAATAGTTTCTGTTTGGGATAAGTTAGATGCGCCGGAGGGACCGCATGAGCGTGCGGGTGTTCATAGAATATCGGCGTCTCTCATGTACTGTCGCTGGATTCCATCATGTACTGCCGGCGCCAGACAGTCAGCAGCGGTTCGTGAGTACGAGAAGATGGAACACACCGGTGGCTACAGTGACGGCAGTGGCTTTCGTGTCCTGCCGTACGGTCCCGGTGAGCCCGATCTCGCAGTGAAGGGTAAGCAACGTACGACGACTGAGGTTAAGTAGGAATAGAATGTCCTCTTCTCGGGTGAATGCTTGAGGAAGACGTCCTTGAACTGCTGCCGGAAATCTGTTCACCAGGTTCATCATCAATATGACTACAATGAGGGATGCACGGTACGAACATTTGGCTACAGCTTTGGCCTCGTTTGGCCGGTTCCCATAGCTTGTGACGTACTGCGAAATTTGGACGCCGCGCTGGAGCTTCTTCTCCAGAAGATCACACTTGTTCAGGAACTGCAACTCCAGTGTAAGATGGTTTGATCCAGGACGAACAAAGAGGGAATGTATCACGCACCAAGATTAATTGCACCTTCGCGAGCAGCGGCGAAGAGCAGACAGCCTTCCAGATGAGAAGGCTGTCCTGGAGACGGTTCACACGACGATCTTCTGCCAGCCTCTCGTCAAAGCAGCTGATGGGAGCAAGGAAGATGAGAGCGTTGATGTCGTCGAAGTATGGGTACCATGCGTGTCGCTGTACAGAGCATATGTAAACGTCGCTTGGTGGGAGAGAACATGCACGGAGTGTGCAACTTACCAGTGATCGTGCACCGCCGACGTCGTAAAGTATCCATTCTCTGTCTGCGTCAAGACCTAATGTGAGTATCATCGATCAGATCAACCAATCATCATGCAAATGTGACGAACAGAAGTGAAACGGGGGCACTTCGGAATACACGCACCTTTGTCGAACTTGAATCGGTACTCCTGCACTCCCATCGTTCGCAACCGCGCCCGGACCACATCTTCGTCTGACGGCTCGTAATTCCGTGCGGCCACGCGCGCGACGTCATTCAAGAAGCTGTCAAGGTTGCCGGCGGCGGAAGCCCACCAGGAAGAAGCCATCGGTGAATTTCTTCTCAGCGCGGCAAAAGCGGAGATGAAAGCGCTCACAACCCCGGTCCCTCCTCCAGGCGCGTCTTCATCTTCCGCCGAGTCAAGACGGCCTGCACGCCCGAGTCGGCCCAGAGTGCAGACATGTCCTCGGCGCACGAGGAGATGACTTCGGCTGCAGTCTGGGCCTGCGGCTCGCCCTCGCCTTCCGCGCTGTTCAGCTCGTCCTCGTTGTCTTCCTGGCTCGATATGCCGAATGGAGACGTAGGCCGCATAGGTCTTCTCCTCGAAGGCTGCAACCATCACCGTCAGCGCACTCCTGCCGCGCCATCCAGAAAGTGAACAGACTGTCTACTCACAGGCCGCCTCTCCTGCTGCACGACATCAGCCTTCGCCTCTTCGCGGGAGCCGAGCGACGCCCGCCGCGCGGCGTTATACCCGGACTTCACACGCCGCAGCGCGGTCTTCCACCCAGTACGGCTGGTGACGAAGAACTCGCGCGGACGGCGTCCCGCGGCGTCGTAGCGCTCCCACGGCGCGGCGGCCCCCGCGTACTCTGGCGCCTCCGTGGACGCGGCGCCGAGGCTGCGCTCCAGGTCGCGCTGCACCTGTCGGAGCGGCGCCAGCTGGAGCTGGAGCAGGCGGTGGCGGTCGGAGAGCGGGGAGGGCGAGGGCCAGTAGGACTCGTCGTCGTCGAGGTCGTCTGCTGCGTCGGGGTCGATGTCTGGCACGAGCGTGTCCCCAGAGACGAGTGTTGCGCCGGTGAGGGTGCTGGAGGGTCCCCTGCTCACTGGCACGGAAACGGTGGTCGACGTGCTCGGCCGTGTGGTGGATGGTCGTGGAGATCGTGTAGGAGAGGACGAGCGGGGCGATTGTGGCTGAGAGCTGGATCGGGATAGTTCCCGCCCGATAACGTCGAGGATGGTGTTGACAGAGCGGACCAAGTTGAGGTGGATGACTGCCCGCCATGCAGATCGCTCTTCTATGAATTGTGAATACGCGTAGGTCAACTGAAAGTCTAAATGAGATAAATCAACGAGTGAGCATCATATCCTTGACGAGTCGGTTCATTCCAGCGACGCAGAAAGACAAGAAAAAGGGCTCAGCGAACATCGCAGCAAAGCCTCTTCGGTATACCAGCAAGAGTGACTGCTGATCTCCGAGTGATCCTTGCTGAATTCACAATGTGTCTATTGACGCACTGTCTAGAAGAGGCGGCGGACGACGCGACGGAGAGCACATTGACAGAGCGTACGCACTCTTGACTGTGGTGGATTTCCCGCTTTCGCTCTGGCCAAGTAGGAGCACCTTAATCGGCTTCCCTTTCTTCCTGAGCGCGGCCCGTTCTGCTTTGAGCTGCGCATCGATGTGCTCACTGATAAGACGCGCCTGAGCTTCGCGTTGTTCGCGTGCCCAGCGGTCCGCGGGGGATTCGTCCTTCGGGGGCTGGAGTGCACGAGTTAGAGGATCGAGCGAGTCGAGGGCGAGGGTCACCATGATAGCGGGCGACAAGTCGTCGAGCGCAAGTCTGCGACGCAGGATGTATATGCTGTGGGAGAAAGAACTGTGACTACAGCAGGAGCTACCGAAGTGGGCCTCGCTATTGTGACAGATGGGAGAACCACGCTGATGCGGTCAGGGGTTTATGAGAGTCTATCATCGGCGGGGCCAGTTGAAATCCGAAGCCAGGTATGCCTCCTCGGTTTCACGGTTGAGCAGGAGACAGCGGTGGGAGAGGACACTCCGGGGCCGGTTGATCCACTCGGACAGTGACGCTGGTCCGTTGACAGTACCTCCGATTTTGCACAGGAGCGGAAGTCGAGTCTGCAGCACGCTTGTGTGCGCACAGACATGCTGTGCGACGTGAAAAGAGAGAAGACATCAGAGGTGATGGTCTAAGTACATCAATGATTCCAGTCCGTGTGCTTGCGTGCGATGGTTGACGACAACTCGCACTCGACTGTGGCGTGGCGCGTAGCGCGCCGCTCAGAGTCACGTGCCGACCCTCGAGCCGCTCAGAGTTGGCTTTCAAATTCGCGCTACATTGTACCGCACATCTTTTCATACTAGTTGCAATTCAAAATCTCAGCTCGTCGTCATTCCTACCATCTCGAGCGTTCACTGGCATCTCCCACATGCGGTGCTCGTTGTTCTGGCAATCCGGGAGCTCGGTGCCACCTCCATCGGATATCCTGATTCAAACTCGCGTATAAAAACAAGCTGCAGCGGAAGAGGCGGCGTAACACTCCAGTTGTCTCGAATCGATTGACACAGACTCCTCATCAAGCTTCAAGATCTTCATGTGCGCTTCTGTTAAACGTGGATTGCCTCGAGTTCTACGCTATTGTCTTGACAACTGTCACTGGCGCCGCGATGTCCTGGACATACATAAGTAGTTCCGAGCGTGCCATTGTTGGCTGGAGTCGGTGGACCCTATATTGCCTAATGCTCAACCCAAGACAGTGCGTCCAGTCAAGCTTTCGCATGTGCTGTAACCTCTCACACAAATTGGTCCAGTGGTGGCGCCGATACAATCAGCAGTCTGCCTACCTGCGTTTATGGGCACGGATTGCGTGGTGCGCGTTCGTGTGTCTCTGTGGTATGATTCTTACAGTAATCTAGGCATTGCAGGTAGATCGAATTGTCTCGAGCGCCTTCAACGAAGGTTCCATAGTTTTTAATCCGCATCTTAATGCCGTACCATGAGAGGATTCGGGAACCTACAGATGCCTCTCGGGTTCTAGCCCGCTGACCGGCAATAAGCCGCTCACGCCCACGATATGCTTGGGACCACCCTTCGGACCGATACTGGCAAATGAACCTCCCAGCGCGCATGCCATTCGGTAGCAAACTTCGACACCAAGGTCCGAATCGCGCCCGCTGGTCCATTGCCACATCCGCACCTTCTGCCTCCATCCTTGGTTTGGAAGCGCCATCTCCGCTGATTCTTACGTTTACCATCCATGGCACGACATCCGTTGCGGTCGATCCCTCTCCCGGATCGAGAGGTGCCTAAGGGGTTCCTGAGTCTGCCTTCTGTACCCTCGTGGCGTAACTTGGGTTAGACCCGCCTCGCACCAATCTTGTACGTACGTGAACTCGCACCCCCGTACCGTGCCTGAGCGTAATACTAAAAAAAATATAGAAATACAGTCACTACTAGTAGCTGACGCATGCACGATGGTTTGCAAGTCAGGTATGTCAACCGACTCATGTATTTCAATTGGAGTACGCGTTTGTCTTTCGTCTCTGTATCACTGTCTCACGCAATGATCCTGCGGTCTACATATCGCACATTTCTCAGGTATGTAGAGATTATGTGATTCTACAACTATCTGATTTGGGTCTCATAGTTGTAGTCAGATTGACGTCCACACAACGTGTATCAAGGTGATGACCCGCGCCACAATTCGCATCCGCGGTCATTGTTCACACGACTTAACGATGCGCCACCAAGATTTCTAGTCACATCTATATGGTCACTCCAGTACGAAGCCGAAGACATGCTGTAGGGGCCGGAGCAAAGAGGTGTTAGCACGGTGCGGTGAGACGAGCTCGCGTTGCTGCATTTTGACCAACCTGTTGACCGTTTCGCAGACGCCACCTCCAGGCTCCCGATACGCGTTTGGCCTGGTCCGAATTTCGCACGACGCCGCTAGAACCCCGAGCCCTACGGAACATAAGCAACGGTGGCAGCAGCAGCACTGGGCGGGGCGCTCATGGCGGTAGACAGCCCAATCCGGTGCGTACTATATGCAACCTTGCGGATTGGCACATTCACGCAGTTGTGCGCGCTGGCAGATAGTACTACTTGCTGTGCACGTCCGAGCTCTGTACACCATGTCATTCGCAGGGAATGTTGGCGAGCGAGCTTCGGGGCATGACCTGGTGAGCCCTGAACTGGAGACGCATGTGATCCTATGGTAGGACGCGCACTTGTCGGAGCTTTCAAATTCAGTTCGTGCGCCCACTTCCACAGCATCGGCGTGTCATTTGCACGTTTGGCGATGATTGCGGAGTAGTGCTGTTCAGACACCCCACAGCCACCACTTACTAACGCCACGCTGACAGCACCAGTCAAGTTGCGATGACGGTCCGACGTCCAAACGCCTTAATCAATGAGCACTATTACGCTCAAGTCGGCGAAGTGTGTAAACGTCCCCGCACAGGCTCTCGGACTTAGATGGGACATAGTGAGTATTCAGTCTGTTCGAATCTCGTGCGTACGGGCTATGTCTGCATAGCAGTGTCTTGATTCACATTGTGCGTCAGTGTGGTCCGCGTTGTATGCTTCGTGATGATGCCACCAGGACACCGCTTCTGTGCTTCGCCCTCGGCGGCCCGGTGGAACCCTTCCTTCGAGGACACATCTCGCCGACTAAGTGACGCATTTCCCACCGCGCACTCTGCACCACCTACTATGATATCCGCACGCGATCTCGCAGCTTCGTCTTCAGCACGATGTTGTTGGTGGCTTGCTCCTGAATCACATGCTGATGTCAGGAAAGTCGGTCGTCCTGTACCCCTCAGTGTCGCGGATTTCAGTGTATCATTGGTTTGCGGATCGCAGCGTACAGATGCGCGATACCTGTGCAATGTCAGTCTTTCCGACGGAAACTGACAAATGATCCAGCATTAACTTTACACGCGCTTACAGATCTGAGCTGTTGACTATCGTAACCTTGTGCGCGTAGACATGCTACAGTAAGCATCACTTAACTTCTATCTCGTAATACCTCCCCACGAGACCTGAAGACTGTTCGAGATGCTGACTATCCCCGCTGATCATTAGATGCCGGCTTTGGATATCACGTTGTTATTTCCAAGCCACCATGTCGCTAACTCAGCGCTAAGTACGCAGACTTTGCGGCCGCGACGAGTGCAACTCGTGTTTTGCTGGAGAGTGTACTAGTACGGCGATCGCGAATGGTGATGTGCCGGTGTGCGTGCATTGGACACGTTTCAGTACAGTGAGGCGGGGATCTAGACGATTGTATCTCCTTTCGAGCTGAGGTGTGGGCATCTCGCGCATATGCATAAGATAACACTGATGGTCTCTCGCTGTGTCAGACATCTTCAGCGCGCACCCGAATGTCTTCGCGTGTAGAACACTGAGCCAAACCTCTCCTTCGGCGGCGTGTCGATCGTCCTTGCGTCCAGAGAACCAATCCAAGTTCTCCAAAGATCACGGTGCGGCACTTTCTTAGCTCTCAGTAAGCGGAAACAAGACCTCTTTGAACGGAGCAGGCACTCGCGGGTCATATTTCTGTCGTCCACCCCACTGTAATGTATGGGCGCCAAAAGTCCACAGAACGCTCTCATCCTGATGTACCTTGTCATAGGTTCCCGAAGTATTCGGCCCTGGCACCCGTCTTCTCCTCTCAGCCCAAGAAGCGACAGCAACCCAGTGCAGACGATCTTTCCCTTGCTGCCTGTGGTCTTACTGTTACGCCTGCCTGCCTGCAGTCTCTGTACGGCATCCCTACCGCTCCTAATACGGAATCATCCAATACACTCGGTGTCACTGGATACGGCGACAACTGGGCCAACAAGGCCGATTTGGAGGTGAGACGACGCCGCACGCAGCTGCAGCCTATTCAGACACCGAACTTACACATTGGTGTACAGAGCTTCCTGAGTCAATACCGTACTGATGTCGTCCTCGACGACGTACACGCTCGAGACGCTTGACGGCGGGTCTTTTGGATATGTCGCCCAAGGTCCTTTCGATAGCTGTCGTCTTGCCATGTAACCCGTTGAACGTCAATGCAATGCCGTCGTGCTTTCGCTAACCCATGTGTTGAACAACATACGTGTAGCTGATTGATACCAGTACACCCGGCTCAGCACTACGAGAACGTCAGTGAACAAGGTCGCTAATATACAGGTTTACCATGACTTCGTCGTCTTCCATCACCTCACGCGGACGGTATGACCGGCTTCTGGCCACCGCTCGTACCCCCGGTGGCCCCGCTCCCGGCCTTCCCAGAATCCTGCGAGCCGTCAAATGTCACGACGCGCGCGAACGTGCTGCCCGTGCCCCATATCCCGCGCCGGAGGCATGCGAGCTGCACGATCTGTGAGTGGTCAATGAACAGGTTCGCGCGCGCGCCCTGGTTCTGGATGTGGTACGCGAACACATCCGGCTCCGCCGCCTCGAACATGATCTTGTCCCGCGGCAGCGCGGACGTCACCGCCGAGATCACGTCCGTCCGCCATGCCTTCACGTTCTCCGTGATGCCCTCGCTCTCGATCATGATCATCTGCGACGGCGACGGTGAGTGTCGTCGTTCTGAAGGAGGATGTGCGACGTACGTATGCACCGGCTTGGAGGAACGTGTTAGCGCGGTCGATAAGCCACTTGGGGTCACGCGTGCCGGCGGACTCGAGCTCCTCGACGCTCGCGTCGCCGCCTGCGCCCCATTGGATGCCGACCTCGGGCTTCGGCTTCAGTCCGTGGGCGGCCGTGAACTCCACGAGGGAAGCCCAGTCTTCGGTAGGGATGGACAGGAAGCCGGACGAGAGCTCGAGCACGTCGAAGCTATGACATCAACTGTGAAATCATGGTGGGGAACGTTGACCGGAGGATAGTCACCCCATGTTCTTGCAGGTCGTGAGGTATTTTGAGATGACGTCCTTGTTACCGCCGGAAGAGGACAGGACGCGTTCGATGAAGCCGCCGGTGCTCACATAACAGTCTGCAGGACGCGCGTGCAAACACAGCTCGAGTGCAGATACAGTCGACTCAGAGACGGTACTCACTGTGCTTGTGTGCGGTCTCGATGAGCCCCTTTAACCTCTCCTCCGGCATGAGCGAGAACGCGCCGCCTGCAAACTTGATGCCATCGACGTAGTCTCCCCAGTCGCTGAGCAGCTCGTCGAGATACGTCTTCGTGACTGGCGCGTAGTATGGACCGCGAATCTCCGTAAGACCCTTGGTACGCGGCTTCGGGTCGAGAGAGTTGGCTGGAAGGAAAGAGTAGGGTAGAGATGTCAGTCGGGGAGCGGTGGTAGACAGGCCGCGGTGTGTGTTGCGGATGCAGGGAACGGTGCGGCGGAGTAGCGTCTGGGTGAGCATCGTGTCTTGCTCGAGTGTATGTCTGAAGATAAGTTGTAAGCTACGCCGCGAGAGGGTCAGACCAGTTATATGCGTTCGACGTACAGACTTTCGGCTTGTCTCCAGTTGGTCTCCAGCGATGTTGGAGACTATACGTCACGATGATGCGCTACTTACTTGCTTTGAATAGCATCGAATCATAGTAAGTAGGCGAGTAAGTTCGCTGGTCCGTGCAGCAGCCATCATCGTCTTGTTGACGGTTCGGTATGTAGGTGTCGCTGAGCATACCGTACCAAAAATGACAGCGAGGGCGGGAGAGCGAAGACAAAACGAGACGAAGGAGACAGGCGCCCGGGCGATCTACGCGTTCACGTCGAATCACGACAGCCACAACATCGCTCACTGGATGCCTTCCCGCAGAGGTTTACAGCGCGTTCTATCCTAGATTCACGCTCTAAACCTCCCCGGCACGTCGGCCTATCTCGCTTGTCGTCCTCTCGAACTCCGGCACCCCCGTTCTAAACCTTAATATGGAAGGGGGGTCAGACCCCCCTTCTAGGTTGAAAAGCATAAACATACCATCGGTGTTCGAATTCTCGCTCTCTCGTTGGCTCTCACCACCTGTCCCATCACTGCGGTTGCCTCCGACGTCCTGTTATGCATTTACATCACAGATTATGTATAGGCCGTCGCTGCGGTTTAGCGACCCTCGCTATTCTTGCACCACAGGCGATGTTCGACGTCCGCTCTAGCTTTACCAGCGCCTGGAAATCCTGCGGAAAGGCATCCACTGGCAACCACTTTCGCAGCCACTCCCAACGCTGCCAATACCTCGTTCTTTCTGCAGATCCTTGACTAGATATCGCTAAGTTACATACGTGTGACTCGGAGGTCCCGTAAGTACCTCGCTCGCGCAAACTAAATACCCAGGTCTCAACGGGACTGCAATCTTGTAGAATCTTGTCCAAATTGCTGGACTCGGAGTGCACGTGGCGCCGCAACGCTAACGTCAGTGCGGTCAATGAACGCGAACCCGGAATGGCTGTCCAATTTGTCGAGCTCAGCCAAGACCTGATATGCCAGTACAGAACAGTGCGGTGAAGTAGGTGCGTTCCCATCTAATCATACGTCTCGAGCACTGTCGCCGATTATTAACAACTTTTGATTAGGACGCGGTCATCCAGGACCATATTGCCGCACTAGCAGGAGTCCTGCATCTTCACATACTGCCACCACGTATGCCGCAGCATGTACCAACAAATCGAATTGCTAGCTGTGAGTCACTGTGCGACGCAACCTCACGCTGCTAATCCGTACTGTGGGGATTGTTATGTCTGCGAGAGCTGGCGAACGTCTATGAAAACTCAGCGACATAGCGAGCGGTATCTGCGACGACTCATGCCTTGCGAATTCACGGATTTGACCCGGGACTACGACGCATTTTGCTTGACCGAATTGATCTAGAGTCGGACACAGAGAACACGCTGTGTATGTGCTTCCACTGTGCCTTCCGTGGCGTCGTACAACTTGACATTTGGCTTACCTGCTGTATCCGCCGGGCACCGCCTCATGAAGCACTTCCGATAAAAGATGACATATCTCCCAGGGCCATTGCCTCCGACAGGACAGATTGACTCAAATCGGCTCCGATGCCACCTCTCTGCCCCGAGTATGCGCAGGTCGTCGACGCATGTTCCACGAGGCACGCCGTCCCGGTGCTTGGGCAGTGTGTGGGTTCTCGAAGTACGCACAGGGCCATCTATGACAAGAGACCACGCCGTTCTTCCGTACGAATTCGGTCGATTGTTTGTAAGAACTTCTACGGGTAAGTGTTCCATCGCAACGGCTTCTTCCGAAAGCATGTTGCGCTGATCACGATTCACGATAGGCTTGCGGGGCGAGATGCCATGTATGAACGAGCGTGGGCCATTGGGCGCCGTGGACCCGTCAGTCTGCGAAAAGGGGTTGAGGTGCTCCATCGGCGGACATCCCAATCGGCACACGCGAGGCTTTCGATGTTGGGTGCGTACGACACATTATGAAGTTGTGTCATAGCAAGGAATCTCAGGCAGCCCTTGTTCACCCCGTCAACGCAGCGAAAATGGCTAGCTTTTGGGACTGCCACCGACTTCGTCGTGATATCACGTAGGTGTTCTGTATACATGTATGCCAAAGTGTGACTCCATGCTCCGTCAGAATCACTGCCACTCCTTCCATTTGTCCTGGCGGGAGGCGTCCCGTCGCAGTCGTCTTTGAGTCGTCTCCAACAGTTCTGCGCCCAAGCCTAATCCAAGGTGGACATAGCCACTTATGTAACACTGAATAATAAACAGATTCACGATACACTGTATGACAGAACTCGACAGAACGAGTGTACGGCCAGTGATATGCTCCTCCTCCCGTTCCGGTCCTCAAAGCGCCGGCATCTCGATTAGGATGTGGCACTGAGCGGCAGTACTTACGCTCGACTTGGTCTCGACTCGAACCCACATATCACCTAGTGCTTCTAGTGCACTAAGCCACATAACATCAATCACTGGCTGACGTGCTCACTGCCCATGCGCCTTTGGCTGTGCTTCCCCTTCGCGTGTCGCATGTGTGGTCCATCGTCCACGTAGTACTAGTACTACGACTCGGAGCTTCCTCTTGACAACAAGCAAATTCTCCCTACCTGAGGTATTCGCGCGTCAGGCCTTCGGAACAGCTGGCAAGATTCCCTATTCGATGGCTTTGCTTACCGGTAGGATTTCGACCGCTGCGGTCGCATTCGCTGGCCTCGCCACCGTAGCTCTCTCGATGAGGCTCTTTCTGTCTTGGGGCAGCAAACGGCGCCACAAACAGACTGAGCGCGAGGTTCGTGATACTGTATGTCCCTCCTAAAGCATTCTGTACGCCTGTGCTCGAGTTGCTGAGTATAGCGTTCAGTTGCCCCGTGACTTACAGACCTGGCGTGCGCCCGTCGAAGACGAAGACTGTGAGCGCATTTGGGAAGTCGCCAGACCCACTTTCTCTGAGGCCGGCATCTATCTATGGCCGTACGACGGGGTCTACTCCAGGGCTGATCCTCGAGGAGTCATTCGTTGCAATGGATTTGCATACGTGACCCCAGTACGTAGTGATGAACGGGCAGCATATCTCCAAAAGTTCAATTGCTACGTCAGTATTGCTTCGCCAGGACTTATCGTGTTAACTGATCAATGAATGCCAGAATGAACTCACACGAGGCGGTACAACTTCGGATGGATTGCATGTTGTCTTACGCGTAGCAGCTATGGGGAATGAGGGCCAACAGCATCTCAAAATCCTACGCAAGCTTGCTCGCGGCACGAGGAGTCTACTTACGGAGAACCATGTCGTCCCGCTCTGGAAGGAGGTTCACTTGGACGACATTACCTTCACTGTTTCACCGTACGTTGCTCACAGCATGAACGACTGTTACGGTGCATGGGCGAAGAATTCTGTCGGGGATATCGTTGATATGATTTTACAGTCACTCGAGGTAAGTACTCAGTCTCAGCAGCTTGCACGTCGTGTCTGACAAAACGACATCTCAGGCCATTGTCTTCGTACATGAACTCGGCATAGTACACAGGGTATGCTATCGACTTTGTCCGAAGTTCGGCTGGTTCTGACGTCTGCAAAGGATCTGTGCAAAGTGAACTATGTCGTCCAATGGCATCCAGAATCATTATTGACCATGCGACTTCCTCTCTGTCGCCCCCGCGCTTTTTTGATCGA